AAATTCTCCCCCTGCTCATTCACTCCAGCCACACAAGTTTCTTTGATGTTCCCTGAATTTACATGCCGTAAGACTTAACACTGAATACTTCTGCTCTTCCCCACTAAAATGTCTGCTAACAGACATCTAAGTACTCAAATCTCACTTTCTCAACAAGGTCTATATGCCATCTGTATTTAATATTTGAATGTCTCTATCTCAAGGCACTGATTCTTCTTTCTGATTCTCACTTATGTAAAAATCCCTGTAGACTGCCAGAGGAGCTCTGTTCCACCCACTCAGGTGCTAAGCCTCCATCCACCTAAGGGTTCCTGATTTTGCTAGTTTCCCTGGCATCCTTTCCATTAGGCCAGTGTGCAGTGGAGTAGGAAGTATAATGACAGGATGGAGAAGGCACACCCTTTGCTTTAAAATGCTGTTACCCAAAATTAATATACATTACTTCCAAACAAATTATTGGTAAGAACTAGCCACATGGTTGATCTAGGTACAAAGGAGATGGGTTATATAATCAAGTGATATGTCCAGGAAGAATAAGAGAACACAGATACTGGCTAGCACTTCTAATCACCAAATATATGTTTTGGCCCCCTTTCCAACACAAAGAACACACTTAACCCCCTTAACCTCCACCACCAAGAAAGAAAACCTGAAGTTCCATCCAGTCAGTGCATCTAACTATAAATACAGAATCACTCAAAATGGTGCCATCTTCTTTCCCAGGCCCATATATATGGAGCTCATTATGATGAGACCTAAGAATTAAAAGGAGTCCTGATGTGGCACTGTGGGTTACTGCATTGGACTGCAAAGTTGGTTTGAACCGCAAGGTTGGTGGTTCAAACTCACCAGTTGCTCCTTGGAAACTTTACACAGGGCTGCTATGAGTCAGAACCATTTTAATGGCACTTAACAACAGCAACAACAAGAATTAAAAAGACAATTGTCTGCACCTCTATCTTCCCCCTCCCAATATACAATGTTGATACAGGAACAGGGAGGTCTTCCTTGTCTAATATCCTCCTGACCAGGCGCTGGGGAGTATACCCAATGTAGGGGCTACATAGCCTTCACAACCCACTTTCTGCTTGGCCAAGTTCTAGGTTTTAAGAAGTGGTTTTTCAGTCAAGGGCTTATTCAGTCCAGGCTCGTGGTTTTTTTGACAATAAAACTCCCTCAAAAACTTAGTTGGCCTTTGATCTATTTGTTTTCAGTCCGTTCCATGTGCCAGTAACCACACAAACAAAATTCTTTCCTGGACACAATTCTCAAGTCTTATTTATTTCTTTTTCCTCACCGTTGTCTTTAAACTAATAGCAGTCACCTGGAGTCCATGTGAAAAAAGAGGTCAGTGGTTCTCAATTGGGGCTACACAACACAATCACTTGAGGAACTTTTTCTAAATCTCTCTGTACCGCAGTCCAAGTAAATAAAAAAAAAAACTCTGCAGACAAGACTAAGGTGATTCTGATGAGCAGCCAAAAACAAGAGCTACTACAGGAAATAGAGAGGCCATACCTTTAATCTGATCTTTGCCACAGTACTGAGTTAGTTTTCAACTAAAAAAAGCTATTTTCAACTCCTGTCTTTGACTCTCTGGGATCTAGAGAAGTAGCCAATTTTCTTATTATCATTATTCCTCTCACTATGCCAGTCTCTGTATTACCTTTTTTAAGGATAAAAACAAAACCCTAAACATTTTTTCTTACAATGCATCTATTTCTGGTAATCCTCACTGATAATAGCACACACCAACAAACATTTTAATCCTTTTCACATCCGATCAAATTGGCATAAAGTATGCCTTCTGAAATATCACAGATGACACATTATAAAGTTGCTCACAAATGCAACACGGATTTCTGTCTTTCCTACCTCCAATATCAGTTTCCTCATCAATGTTCAACTTAACCACTAAGACAGCGTCAGAGGTGTTGAGGTTTTATTATATAAGTATTCCATTCCAACTACTAACTGCTATGCCAAAAACCCTAAAGTCTCAGTAGAAAAACACATAGCTTTTTATCTGGCTCCCACCACAATTAATTGGTGATTCTTCTCTACCTCTCATTCAATTATCCAGGTTTCTTTCATTTTATGGCTTCACCTTCCTCTGGGTCCTAGTAGAGGCAGACAGGGTAGATCTTGTTCTAGGCAGACACAGAATACCCTGTCCACATTCTGCTGGTAGAACTAACCACATGGCCACACTCAGATACAAGAGGGCACAGAAATGTAGTCCAGATGTGTGTTCAGCAAGAACACGAAAACACTGATATTGAAGAGTACTATCAGCCTCTCAAAAATTAAGCTCCACAGTGCAAGTGTCTTAGTCAGGTTTATTAACAGATGTATCCTACTTAGCACTGACTACAGCACATAGTAGGTACTAAAAAATATCTTCTGAATGCATGAATAAATGTATGAACAAGATGAATTACAGATAAGGTACCATATGGCATTTTTGTTTTATAATGAAAGCAAACTAAATGCATCAGGGACTAAAAGAACAATGAATTATTATGCATAGTTACTAAGACAAAAGATTACACAGAAGCCTTTGGGAAAATAAAAATTCAATTCTAGGCACTAAACACATTACAAATATACAATGTAAATCCATATACAAGTTGGTTAAACACAAAGTGAATTCATCTGTTGTAAATATGTAGAAAAAGTCATTCAAAATATTTGTACAAACATAATGGACAATCTTTATAGAAATTACTATTAAACTGATTACACAGCCTCAAAAGTTCAACAATACTTTTTTCAAAGAGCAGGGGCACTTCACAGGCAAAGTTTTAATTCTGAAAAAAGTTGTGTATACACACACATACACACACAATGCTGAAAGAGTTTATGAGTACATATCTACAATATACAATGCATACACTCATCAAAATTCAGAACCGATACATTTATGATATTAGCTTCAAAATTATGTATGCTGATAATGTTTGATTTTTCTTGAAATTTTACATCACACTACCATGGGAAACCCTATACAGGGTTGCTATGGGTCTGAATCGACTCGACGGCACTTAACAACCACCACCATGAAAATGAAGGACTTAATCAAAGAGAAAGAAAATAACAGCACTGAAATAACGGGAGTAAGACCTACTTCTTAAGAGTGTTGTTCAGTTCAAATAAGAATATAAGAATTCTTCCTGATCTGTGTACTTTTATGGTAAAGTTTCACAAAAATATTCAAAAGCATGTATGAAAAACTGCTTTGTAAATCAAAAAGCAGTATCTGGAGTGGCGCTGTGGGTTAATGTGCCAGACTGCAAAGCCGTTTGAAATGCAAGGCTGGTGGCTCAAATTCACTAGCTGCTCCTCGGAAACGCTATACAGGGTCGCTATGGGTCGGAATAGACTCGATGGCACTTAACAACAACAACCCATAACTTAGTTATCTTTAATAAAAAAATTTTTTTAATCCCAATTTTAAAAGTGTTAGAAATTAGCTAAATGAGCTGGTTCAAATTAAAGTGAACAAGAAATTCCTTATTCACATTGACCACACATCTAGTAAAAGAATTTTCAGGAAAAACCATTAGCAAATGCAATCATCATGAAAGGTTATAAAGTAAAAAACTATCTCATGTCTATGTGTCCTTTGGTTGTTTAAATGATTATATATTCCTAAGTGTTTTGGTGTACATCCAAAAAAACCCCAGAGAGAACAGAACCAAATACTGTTGAATGATGATGCACACAGGGGATTGCAATCATTGCAATGAAAGGATGAGTGTAAAACTGATGTTCCCCCATGTAAATGATCACTCAATTCACAATAAAAACTTAAAACAAAACAAAAAAAACCTATCTCATGTCTAAAGAGTTAGACTCTAACAAAGAAACAGAGGAATAAACAGTAAATCAATGCAATGAGTAATTGTACTTTAAGAAAGGGGAATTAACAAAATGAAAATCCACTAAAAAATTATCTCTATTCAACAAAAATGAGAACTATTGAGCTTTTTTTCTTTTTCCCTTTTCTCTTTTTTATGAAGATTTAAAACAATGAGTCCTCAAACAAAACTTACGGTGCTCACAATACAAGACTCAAAAGAGGATTTTGTCACTGAAAGCCTACTTCATTTTAAAAAATGCACTGTCAGAGATATCAGAAGTAAAGTTGAATGTACAATTGAGTTTAAATTTGTTTCTTCTTTTTTAACTAGTTCCTGATTTGAGCTTATTTGATTTTTCTTGGTTGAGTTTTAAGAAGATCAAGAGTTAAAAAAATAAGTTACTGAAGCTTTCTAATACTTGAAATCCAGTAGAATAATCAAACTTAAGAACCTATGTATTTTTCTAGTGTTTATCAAACCAATTAGCAAACAAAACAAAACAAAATGGAGGTAAAGTTTTTAAAACAAAAGCTAAAGCAACCTTTGGATGAGAAAAAAGTATGGCATTTTTAAACTCTCAAACTAAAGAAGGGAAGAAAAATGATGATGGTAAGAATGCCATACAAAAATCAAACATCAACCTCCCCACCAAATACTGTTATTTAAAGACAACTTTTGCAGGTCAAGATATATCCATTGGGCAATAGATATAAAAGACAATATTTCCCTCAATTTTATAGAACCAGAGTTTATTTTCTTTATTTTATACAGTGTTCTTTCAACATTGGAAGTTTATAAAAAAATCAAGAAAACTTGCTTCAAAAGTGAATTTCAAAATTCAGAAGAATAAACATTTGGAGAGACACTTCTTGCACAACTTTAAAAGGAAATGAAAGTTACTTTTCACTTTGGCCCATGAGCAGTGTAACACAATTTTACTGAATAAAGGGACCACTTCAAAAGTAATTACTATTTCCACTACCTAGAATTTAAAATTTTTGCTTTTAAAATCAAGTTATGCTGCATAAATGTTTATTATTACAATTCTATTATGCCACATCCTTATTTGGCCCAATTGCTATTAACTATGAGACAGGCTGACAGTTGAGGAAATAGAGTGAAACATAAAAGAGTTACCCAAGAAGAATGCTCCTTCATCTGGTGTTGGTTGCTGTGAGGGCCACTGGCATGGCCACGCCAAAAGCAATTTTGGCAGAGCTGGTAGTTGTGGCACTGCTGGCATCGGTACCGGAAGCCCATCATACTCTCACACCGGCAGTAGGAACACTCCACAGGATGGAAAACTAATAGGACGGAAAAGGAAGAGAGCAAGAAGGGCAAGGGAGAAGGGATGACATAAGAGGAACAGAGGGGAAAAAAAACATCAATTGGAGAATAAAGTCAATACAGAGAAAAAACAAATCTAATATCAAGGCAGGACTCCTGGTGTGGTGCTGTGGGTTAATGTGCTGGACTGCAAGGTTGGTTTGAACTGCAAGGTCGGCAGTTCAAGCTCACCAGCCGCTCCAGGGTTGCTTTGAGTTGGAACCAACTCGATGGCACTTAATAACAAGAAAAATATAAACGCAAAGATGAAGACACCATTAGAACCAAAGAAATGAAATTTCCTGCTAGCCAATTAATACAACCTAAGGAGCTCTGGTAGCGTAGTGGTTACGAATCGGGCTGCGAACCTTAAGGTCAGCCGTTCAAAACTACCAGCTGCACCGCGGGAGAAAGATGAGGCTTTCTACTCCCGTAAAGATTTACACCCTCGGAAACCCTATACAGGGTCGCTATGGGTCTGAACCGACTCGATGGCACATAACAACAACAACAACAAGGAGCTCTGGTAGCGTAGTGGTTATGAATTAGGCTGCAATCCACAAGGTCAGCAGTTCGAAACTACCAGCTGTTCCGCAGGAGAAAGATGAGGCTTTCTGCTCCCATAAAGATTTATAGCCTCGGAAACCATGTACAGGGTCTCTATGAGTTGGAACCGACTCCACGGCACATAACAACAACAACAATTAATGCAACCTAGTACATACAGCTATCTAGAATAACAATGACAACTTAATAATCAAGGGGGAAAAATCTTTCACCTTAGAATACTATATTCAAACCAACTTCAAAAACAAACAATCTCTCTCTTAGTGAAACTCATGTTTCTTAACATTTAGATAAGCACAAAAGTATGGAGGAAGCTGGACACTGTAGGGTAAGCACCAGAAGGGTAACAGTTCAAAACTACCAATCACTCCTCAGAAACGCTATACAGGGTCGCTCTGAGTTGGAACTGACTCCACCACACTTAACAGCTACAATGACAAACGAGGACAGAGAAGATTTCACTCCAAAATTGCTTTTCCAAATCTATCATTGTTGTTTTTATGGATGGTTTATTGTTAAATGTGTATTAGTTGTTTCTTTCACTAACTTGTAAAATCCTTGAGAGCCAGAACTGTGTGTTATGTTTCCATTACCTACAAACAGTATTTTATGCAGTACACTGAACTGAATACTTTTAAAAATGTTTGCTGAATTAAATATTACCACAAATATGGGGAAGTAGTTCTGATAGTGCAGTGGTTACAAGTCGGGCTGCTAATCTCAAGGCCAGCAGTTTGAAACTGCTAGCTGTTCCATGGGAGAAAGATGAGGCATTCTGTTCCCATTAAGATTTATACCCTCAGAAACCATGTACAGGGTTGCTATGAGTCGGAACCGACTCCACAGCACATAACCACCACCAACCACCACATATCTGGGCACATATGGTTAACCAGTAAAAAATAAGTATTCGTTTTAAGTCAGATCTCTGAGTAACATCACAGATTTAGAGGAAGGGAACTCATACCTGTACACTTTTTCCACTTAACACAGCACATTTTCTTCTGGAAAATTACCAGGATGTCAGTGTGAATTCACAGAGATCATAGAGATTCTCTCTCATTAGGGAGTATTTAGAAAACTGCAGTTTACTAAGAAGGAAGTAGGTGACAACTAGCATGGGCAATGCACAACAGTACATTACAGATTACTTTTCAACATTGGAAACGAAATTGTTCCCCCTGGCAATTAACTCTAAACACAAAGAATAGAAGTCAACAGGAAAAGAGGAATGTAGTATTCAGATCTTCTTATGAACCAACTCTTTCTAGCACTATATACACAAAGGCAATCTTGGTCAATCTCATCTTAATTATAAAGATATTTAATCTTGATTGCTGTGGTACAGTGAATTATTTAAGATATCTTGTCTAGCCTTAATTTTTATAACTCCCACCAAGTGACTTTTTTTCTGATAGGTCTGGGTAAGACAAGGTGGGAGAATATACTGATAGAATGATATGATTCTGTTGTGACTGGTGGTTAACAAGGTTAGTTGTGATGGTGAAAACTTGGAACTCTAACATGAGTATAAAATGAACCATCTCAGAAGCAGGAAGGGGTATCTCATAATCGTCAAAGAAGAGCCAAGATTGGAGCACTTCTTTGGACCTAATGGTAGTGGTTATGTGCCGTAAAGTCGGTTCCGACTCACAGCGACCCTGTATAGGGTTTCCGAGGTTGTAAATCTTTACAGGAGCAGAAAGCCTCATCTTTCTCCTGCGGTAGTTTCAAACTGCTGACCTTGCGGTTTGGTTGATATTCGTAATCCCCGCAAATTGATGTGACTCAGGGACAGAGCTGCAACAGCAGAGGAATGACAGAGAGGAATGACAGAAGAACAGCACACCAGCAGAGCCAAGAGCCAGACAAAGCAGTGTGCTTCCTACTTCACAGAACAAGTAAAGCTGAGTGCCTCTGGGCAGGAAGCTTGCTTGAAGAGCAGGGTGACTCCAGGCACTTAATCAGAGGAGCTAGGTTTTCTGACCCAGAAAGGCAGAGCCAAGTGCCTTGAGCCTGAGGCTTATGGTGCAGTGGTGTGCCCTGTGAGCATTTATCAGCAGGCAGCCTATGTGGCACTGTGGGATAATGTGCTGGGCTACAAGGTTGCTTTGAACTGCAAGGTTGGTGGTTCAAGCTCACCACCTGCTCCTTGAAAACACAGGGTTGCTGTGAGTCGGAACTAACTTGATGGCATTTAACAACAAAAATAAAAGAGCCAAGTAAAGGGACCAAGAGCCAGAAGGTTGTGTGCCTATGGGCATAACTGGGGAGAGGCTGTCCGGACTGGAAAAACTACGACCTTACCATTTCTGACCCTGAAATGTACTCTGATAACTTCCCTAATAACCCCCTTAGCTGTGAGGACAGTGTTTACATTCTGTGTGGTCACTGCAGTAAATTACTGGACAGATGAGAAGTAGAGTGCTGTGGGAGGGATGGCTGCTGTCCTAGTTTTACATTTCCGGATATATTAACTAGGGAATCAAACTAAAAACAAAACAGAACACTAGGTGAAGAAAACAATATAAGAATATCATCAGAGACTAAAGAAAAATAAGAACAGAAATCAGAAATACAAAAGCACACACTTCCTCTAAGAAGCTGAAGACTGTCATTGAGATATTTCTGAGAAATGACAAAAGTGCTAATCAGAGTATGTCCTTTACATTATAAATACACAGTCTGAGAGAGTGGCTCAGGAGAGCACCATTTCCATATCAATCTGGAGACAACATCAATGTAATCAACATCAGAGCACCCAATATTTAGCCTTCTAAATAATAATTTGGGATTGACACTAAAAGATCTATGTAAATTAATATTAAATTATCAACTATATTCTGATAAATTTGGCTGAACATGTATATCTGAACGATTTTCTTCAATTTTCATATAAAGCAAAAGAGGCTGGAACTCACACAAGTCAGATGGTCTATGGTCTTCCTTATATTCACTGTCCAACTTTCAAATGTATATGAGGTTATTGAAAGTATCATGGCTTAGGTCAAGGGCACCTATGTCCTCAAACTGATATTTTTGCTCTTGAACATTTGGCAAATTTGCCTAATGAACTACATCATTTGATTTCTTGACACTTGGGTTTGGTAAGTCAGTATAAAAAGTACAATTACTGCTTAGGCAAAAACTATTTGTCTTTATGAATAGTAACTTCAATACAATTAAAGTGCTGAATTTCATAAGAAGAGTCCAATAAAAAAAATTCTAGGAAGACCATAATTTAAAAATATGTCTCCAATCATAAACATTAAGATATATAGACAAATTTCAGTTTGATACCTAACATGTTTTATTTCTAGAATTTTAATGATTTTATGCCATTTCTGTCTCAGAAAAAAAGACTATAGCTGACCACATAAGAATGTAATCAACAATAAAATACAAGCAAAGAAACAATAAAATGTTCATATGGGTAACAATAAGGAACTCTGGTAGCATAGTGGTTATGAATCGGGCTGTGAACCGCAAGGTCAGCAGTTCAAAACTACCAACTGTTCTGCAGGTGAAAGATGAGGCTTTCTGCTCCCGTAAAGATTTACAGCCTCGGAAACCCTGTACAGAGTCATTATGAGTCAGAACTGACGCCACGGCACATAAGCACCACCACTGTGTGTAACAATCACAAACGAAATTATTTCCACTTGATTTATCAGATACATACTGATTTTAAACCAATGATTTGGATATTAAACTACTAAAATACTTAAGGTTATAAAAGCATTATTTTACAAAGTTCCAATGATATTATAATTATTTTATAATTTAAATCTCTATCCCAAGATCCTGTTAAAAAAATTTAACTGTTTCATTCTACACAAAAGATTCCAGTCTTTTAAGTATGTAATCCTGAAATCTGAGGTACTTGTAAATTATAAAGTCATAGTTAACCAAAAGACCAAAGAGTTTTTTTTATAAAAAAAAAAAAGGACAGAGTTGAGGAAGGGGAAAAATTTAAAAGAGTATGGAAGTATATACTTCATTCTTATAGAGAGGAAAAGAGAGATGACAGCTTTTTAATGGCTTCTCAGACATTCTTCTTCATTCTCTTCTGTTAAGAGAATAGATACTGGCAGGATCCTTAAAAGATAGTTGTTGTTGTTGTTGTTAAGTGCCTTAGAGTCATTTCAGACCCATAGCGACCCTGTATTGGGTTTCTAAGCAGCAACTGGTAAGTTTGAAATGCCAGCTTTGCAGTTCAAACAGTTTTGTAGTCTGGCACATTAACCCACAGTGCCACACCAGGACTCCTAAAAGATGGCGTTGTTATTGTTGTTGTGAAGTATTATCAAGTCGGTTTCGAACCATAGTGACCCTGTTTGGGTTTCCAAGCAGCAGCTAATGAGCTTAAAAAACCAACCTTGCTATTAAAACGACTTTGCAGTCTGGCACATTAGCCCACAGTGTCACACCAGGACTCCATAAAAGATAGTAGGTTATATAAAAAAAAACTAGAGTCATCCCTTTAAAAATTTAAACCACCTAATAAGGAAGGTAAGCAAGTGGCAATAACAGAAAATTAAGGTGTTTCTGACAGGGAAACGATAATCCCATATGTGCTCCATGGCATTTTTCAAGGACTAATTTTTTGGAAGTAGACTGCCAGACCTTTTTCCTGAGAAACCTCAGGAATGGACTTCAACCTCAACCTTTTGGTGAGCAGCCACACACATTATGCTATGAGTCCAATCAGCCTGGTTTTAAGTGATAAGTAACTACCATTTCAATTCAAAACAAAACAAAGATCTAAGTCGAATCACTGAGAATATCAAGAGTAGATTCAAGGTAAAATAATAAATGGAGGAAAAATCAAAAGATATGAGAAACTCAGCGCTAAATTATATCTTAGCTATTTTTCTTTAATTATTCCAAAATAATTCATCATTTTAGTGGCTGAAAGGAGTCCTGGTGTGGTGCTGTAGGATAAGCACTGGACTGCTAAACAACAATTGAATATATCCAATTTTCAGAACTAAGATTAGATAGTTTAAAAAAAAAAAAGTCAAGGCTAAATTAGGTAAACTCAAGTAGAAAACCAACAACTGTAATCTAGAGTTTGAACTAGTTGATAGAGTTTTAACTACAAAATTTTACTATGACCAAACATTACTACTCCTTGGCATCTTATCTAAATCATATCACTCCTTTTTTTGTTTTAGAAATAAATATTTTTCTTTTGCATGCTAAAACCAGAGAATTACGATGGAGTCCTAGCAAATATCAATTATAACTGGCAGTGATAACAGCTAAGGACTACAAATAATCCGTTTATATACCTCTCATAGTATAAGGAATTGAATTATAGAAGTTCAGCTTACCATTCTCAACGTGGGCAAGCCTGTGCATGAGAGAGAGCCAGACAAGGCACTGGGGAGGAGGATCGCCCATCATTGTGTCTAGAAACATATTCAGCATGATCTTTTTCTGTGAAGAGAAGGGAAAAAAAATTACACTTAATATTTTTCAAACATCTCTTAACTCCGAAAGTTAAGTTAACCTAGGAATCTCCTGGCCAAGCTTTAATAAATTGCATGCTAAAATATTAAAACAAAACAAATTGTGACATTACTATAACACTACACAATCTGATACACTGTTATATTTAAATAAAGCACTTCTCCATACATTATTTGAGTCTTAAAACAACTGCGCAAGTTCAGGGCAGGGATTAGACACAGGATAGTTTGGGTGCTGGGGAGGGGGCAATATGCAAGAAGGAAGAGGGGAATGGAAGAACAAAG